CCAGAAAGGCACGACATCAAAGAGGAGGCCAAGAGGCCTTCCAGGAAAGCCGAAGTCAGTCAACAACCTGAAAACATCCCTAGCTCTTGTTGCGCTTCCCAAGCCCATCGGCCAAGAACGTTTCAAAGAGGGCCTCGCAGGAGCCAATGAGAGGCCAAAAGATCCCGGTGCGCCCCAAGAAGTCCCCTAGACGGAAAAGGACAGACTCAAGGAGCCCCAGGACGGCCAAAGAGGGGTCAAGGACAGCACAAAAGTGCCCCAAGATGTCCCCAAAGATGGCCCCAAGAGAATCCCCAGACGGCCGACAGCGGCCCAAGACGGCATCAATGCGGTCCAAGAGAGCCCCAAGACGGCCCAAGAGGGCCCCGAGAGAGCCCTATGAGGGCCCCACATGAGCTCAAGGCAGCCTCTAGACGGTCCCGCTAGCCCACGTGGTAGCCCCTCAAGGACTAGAGACGAGAGGTGCATATGTTGCGGCGTGCTGGGCGGTGCTTACAACGCGACCACATAGAGAGAGTTGTGGCGGCACGATGGCGGGATGTGCAGCAAGCAGCGGGGCAAAGATGGACATGTTAACGTGCTCCCCGTTGCCCCCCAAACACTCTCGGAAATCCCAAGGAGGCCCCGAAGAGAAGGACATGCTGCCCAGTATCAAAAACAAAAAACATGACAGGTCGTCACCAGACTGTTTACTACCATTCTTACATCCTCCTCCTGTAGAGGGTCATGACCGACATAAGCTTAGTAATGCGCATCGCTGCCCCTTTGAAAAACGTCGTTGGGAAGGATCTCCAGGGAGCTGGCGTGAGTGAAGACGCGCACTGCTCAGAAACCCATTCTCACCGCGTGGTGCGCGCGGGCCTTGAAGCTCACCTGGATGGCAGAGTGGCTGTGGTCGACGTAGTTCGCATCGCCGATCCTGGGTTGGCATGCGCTCCATAGCCATACCGCCGCTCGATCTGACCAAAGAAACGAATGTCGGGCGATCACCAGTGGACCATTCTACTCCGACTGCTGGGGCGGGGCTCCCATCGAGGGACCCCAGCGAGAGGTTTGAATCCGAGCGGCCTCGTCGACTGAACCACGCGTTGATTTGTACGTGACATTCTGCCAGAAGGTCCACGACTGCTCACAAAGAAGGTTCGGACGGCGTCCGAGCTGCCCCATGGGACATCCCCATTGTCTGAGGCCATCTAGCGAGGCCTCAAGCGTGTGCGCCGTTGTCACAAACGTGCTTTCCATAGAGTGGTCCTTCGCCGCTCTTTCGAGTGAGGTGGCCACTCGTTCTAATGAACTGCCCGTCCGTAATCAGGAGATGGGCGCAACGGTCGGGAACGGTGGGCGGATGATCATGGCCAATCGAAGTGCAAACGATCCGAGATAGTGCTTCCCCCCGCCACCCTCGCAATCCCAGCTGGAGCGTTGCCCTCCCCCCCTCGCTTGGTCACTTCCCATCGGAACCGCCAAATCGGCAGAGAGAGGGAGGCAGAATGGTATGAACCGATCGGCTGGCCATCGCTCGGACGTCCATTCCCTGTTTTTTTTCGGTTTCGTGCGTGGTTTATTCGCCAAGTGATCAAGGATGCTCCTCGATGGTCCCCACCGAAGGAAACATGCACACGTCCGAGCGATGCCAAGTCGGGAGAACATGGTCGGCCTGGCCAGGTCCGGGGCCACTGCCACAGCTCTCGCGATTCCAGTGTGTTCGCTCGGTCAGGTGGCCCCGAGGCGCGCGCCACACGTCCCCGTTGTAGCCTGCACTGGACCAGTAGGACCACGTCTTCATCTGCAGACGGGGGTCGGTGTGCTGCAACGGCGTCCCCGACACCTGCGGCTGGGCGGCGCGGGAGAAGGAAGAGCGGCGCGGGAGACTGAAAGAACACACATAAGGATTCACAGGCACGCGCGCGCACGCAGAGACACACACAACCACTTGCTCCATAACAGCATGACTGTGTTTTGCTACCCAAACTCGTCTGGCTGCATTGCTGGGACGGCCCTCGCGCACACACAGGAACACATCGGGAACTGGGAAGATGAGAGTGAGGAGCGGAAATGGACAGCATGAGGGACATGGTGAGGAGGAGAGGCTCAGAAACGAAGTGGAGGGTGCGGAGTGTGAGGGGCGGGGCGATGAAGACGAGGATGAAAGGAAATGAGGTCAGGAGGGTGCAGAATAGAAAAAGGGGGACGAGGGTGAGGAGGGGGAGAACAAGGGGGTGAGGAGCGCGAGGATCGATAGGTTGACGAATGTGGGAGATGAGAGGGCTCCTCATCATGCTCCTCCTCCTCCTCCTCCTCCTTCTCCTCCTCGTTCCTCTTCGATTGTTCTTCCTTTCCATTCACCCCTCCTGTCTCATGGATCTTCTTAGTTACTCTTCTACTCCTATGCGCCCCATCTCTCTCGTCCTCCCCCCTCTCCTTCCACTCCTCCTCTTCCTCCTCCTCACCGTTCTTCTCCCCTCAATAATGTCAGCTTGTGATTAACAAAGGCCCCCTCCCCCCCCCGGGGCTGATGGATAGACCCCGTGGGGCGCGATACTCTTTTTTAAATCACGCGCGCCAGGGGGAAGGAGGAGAGAGGAGGGGGAGGGGGGAGAAGGAGGAGGAAGAGGACGAGGAAGAGGATCAGGAGAGGGAGGAGGGGGAGGGGGGAGAAGGAAGAGGAGGAGGAAGAGGAGGAAGAGGAGGAGAAGGAGGAAGAGGAGGAGGGGGAGGAGGCGCCCTGGCAGCAAAGCCTGCTGCTGCAGCTGATTTCGGTCGCCCCGCCGAAGGGCCAGTCCTCGACGCATGGCCGCTGTCGGCGCCAGGAGGCGCATGGAAAATCGGCGACGTGAGCTGCTTGGCACATCTCCCCTTTGCTGCCCCACTTTCTTCCAGCCCGCCTTGGCCGCAGGTCCGCATCGGTTCGACAGAAAGAGCGGCGCCATGGCTCGCCCTTGCCTCCAAACACCCCCCCTTTGCCCCTCGTTGGCGGCCGGGCGTCGGCGCCAATCACCGGCGCCGCCCCGTTGATTTTCAATCTGGCGGGTGCCATCCCGCGATTCGCCCGAGCAGGGGAACTATGTTTTAAACACGCGCCCCCCACGGATTTGTTAATCACAAGCTGGCATTGCTCCACGAACCTCCGAGCATATATAACATCGCCAGAACACCCGTATCCTTGTCCCCACCCCTTCACGCCCCCGAAACTCCTCCTCCTCCTCCTCCTCCTCCTCCTCCTTCACCTCTTCCTCCTCCCCCTTCTCCTCCTCCTCCCCTTCCTCATCCTCATCCTCATCCTCCTCCTCCTCATCATTACCATCATCATCATCATCATCATCATCATCATCATCATCATCATCATCATCATCATCATCATCATCACCATCATCATCATCATCACCACCATCACCATCACCATCAGCATCAGCATCACCATCACCATCACCACCAACATTATCATCATCATCATTATCACCATCATCAGTACCATCAGCATCATCATCATCATTATCACCATCATCGTCGTCATCGTCGTCATCATCGTCACCATCAGCATCAGCATCATCAAAATCAACATCAACATCAACATCAACAACATCATCATCATCATCATCATCATCATCATCATCATCATCATCATCATCATCATCCCTCTCCCTCGACGGGACCCCCCCCCCGAAGCTCATCCTCCTCCTGGTGCTGGTCCTTCTCCTCCTCATCCTCCTCGTCCTCCTCCTCCTCCTCCTCCTCCTCCTCCTCCTCCTCCTAATCATCATCAGCATCATCATAATACCTTTCGCTTTTACACTCCCCGCTCTGGTCCTAATCGTGCTCGCCTGCCCCCCACCACAAGTTGCTGCCTCTTTCGCAGACTATTTCTGAACACCTGGACCGTAGACGTTGTATCCAAAACGAGTCTGTCCGATCGGCTCCGCTGCAGCGTTGGTGCACCTTTCAGGGTCGGGCATGTGCCCCCGTCATTAAGAATAGCGCTCTCGCCCCAGCACGGGCCGCCCCAGAATGGGCCGCACTTCTGGGTACGATTCCTCCCTCGTAGTTGCCGTCCTCTTCGTTTCCCCTCCGCCGCCTTGCCCTGGTCCCCCTGCGCCTGTTGCGCCTCCTGCTCCTCCTGCTCCTGCTGCAGCTTCTCGTCCTCATTCTCCTAATGTCTTCTCATCCTCCTCATCTTACTCTTGCTAATCTGCTATCCGTCACCTCCTCCCTATCTCTAATGCTCCTCCTCATCATCTTGCTCCTTCCCGTCAAATGCACGGAACTCCTGATTATGACTGCGCGTGACGACTGCGCCTCGCAGAGTGGGTCGTTTTCGAAACCAAGATCCTCTAGGTTACCCCATTCCGCTGATGGAAACTACGTACGCGCAACTGTAAGGGACGGGCGGGAAAGGCAGGATGTTAAATATGTGTTGTGAGCGCACCTGGCTTGCTCCTCTTCTCCTCCTCATCCTCGCTGGATCCTCTGCTCCTCCTCCTCCTCCTCCTCCTCCTCCTCCTTTCCCTCCTCCTCCTCCTCCTCCTCCTCCTCCCTCCTCCTCCTCCTCCTCCTCCTCCTCCTCCTCCTCCTCCTCTTCTCATCGCCATACACTCCTTACTGCCCTCCTCCACCCTCATCCGGCATCCCCGCATCCTGCCTTCCTTTCTTCTCCTCCTCCTCCTCCTCAGGCCTCTGACGACATGCATTGTTTCTCGTCACGGCTCCCGTGAACGTTCGAAAACTGTCTCAAGGCTGGCTGTTTCCAATATGTTGATGGTGGCCCCAGATCCCATAACGGGCCCCCGCGAGGCCCATGACTCCTTCCCCTCGCACTGGGGAACGCCTGGAGGTCGTGGTGGTCTTAGGATGCGCTCGGGGAATTGATCCCCCCCCTGCCTCCCCTCCTCCTCGTCCCCCCTCCTCGTCCTGCCGATGCTCCCACTGAGCCGCCTCTCGCGTGACCATGCGCGCGGAATGAGATGTGAACGCCCGCACGTGCACCCTGGAGTCGTCTATCTTCTTCACGTGGTCCTGCCGACACCCGCACCGAGCACCAGGAGACCCTGACCTTCAACGCCTCGTGGCGCCCAGACACGGCGGCCAATCTCGGGGGGGGGGGTCCAACTCGAGGGGCCCACCGATCTGGCAAGAAGTTCAAGTGAGGCGACATTGTGACATGTGCGTGATACCATGGCGCGGCATACTTTGACACCCTGCTCTGTGCTACAGTCAACCCGCAGAGTATAAGGATGCGCGATGAGGATGCAAGGGCCTTGGACGCCCATTTCGAAGCGTTTCGAGCGGGACGCGGCCAACGAAAGTGGCCAAGGATGGACCCAGGAGGCAGGGATGCAAGGGTACCCTTGGGAAGGTTGCCCATCCTTACTACACCCTGCGAAATGCTTTAGAAATCATGGGTTCAGAAATTCATAGTCTCAGAATTCTGTTAACAACTCAAAATGCCGATTCAAATCTTAGGATCTACATTGAAACATTAGGAATAATCGAGACTCTGGCCGAAAACTTGGGTTTTCTTAAGCATCGCCTGGAGTGTATGCCGGGCTGACTGTATGCTGCGCTGCGTACTCTTTCGCGATGCCCCCCCCTCGCACCGTGCCCTCGCCGCGGGGCGGGCGGGGCCCTCGCCGCTGGGCGGGCAGGCCGAAGGACGGCCCCGCCAGGAACGACGAGCACGAGCACCAGCGACGCGGTGCAGACCAGGGGCGCGAAGACGAGGCCAGGACGAGAACAGGATCGATCGAACGAGGATACAGCGAGAGTCTCCGAGGTCCGGAGGCTCTGGAGGATGTCTCGGGCGCCGCGGCCTCCTCAGAGCGCTCCAGATCGCTCTGAGAGCCGCCCGGAACGCTCTGGAACGGATTTCTCCTCGTCCCAGCCCCGTCCGATACATGGTTGCTTGGATGGGGCCTGGCGGCGGCTGATCACTGTCTTACAACAACTTATCCGACAGGTGAGGGCGTACTCCGACTTTTGGGGCTCCCACGTCCCCCTCTGGACGTGGAAGAAAAGGTGACGTCGACTCCTCGTGTGCTTTGATCCTTGGGGTGCCCAGATCTGGAGGACTGACCATGGGAGGGGTGGGGACCCCAAACGCCCGACGTCATGACTTTTTCACAACGTGGGCCCCTAGAGGTCTGCACCCCTCTCACCAGGACCAGTGCTTCTGCCCGGGGCGCTCCTTGACAGTCCCGCGGTGCCGAGAGGGGCCCCCCCCGGCGCCGAAGATGGCCCCAACACCGCCCGTCGTGATCTTTTTTCGCAGCGAGAGGAGGTGGTGGACTGGAGAGGTGAGGAGGCGGAGGAGGCACGAGGCTGGCTCCAAAAACCCTCAACCCAAAACTAATTATTCCTATCTCTTGGGGGGCGCATCTCTTACTTACGCCAGCTTCCGCTGGCGGAGCCGCCCTCGTCTTACTTCTGCCAGCTCCCGCCGACCTGCCGCCGAAGACGAGATGCCAACATTTCGATCCCTCGAAGGCGAGGCCCTGCCTGGGAATCCTCCACGAGGGGGAAGGGAGGGAGGCCAGAGGCCTCCGAGGTGGGGTCGGAGAAGATGGGGTGGGAGGATCGCGCAGCATCGCCGATGCATCGGAGATGCACTGCCGACGTCGACAATGCATCGGCGCCTCGGCGTGGAGAACATCGGGCTCCACATCGAGCCCATCCACTCGGACCCCTCTTGGGCGACGAAACGAAGGGAGTCTCACGCGAGGTGACATGGCGACCCTGCGCAGAGGCTTGCGCGGGCCGCCAGCGCGGCACGCCACAGCGGAAGCGAAGATGCTGACGCGCCACCTGCCGCGGACAGCTGACGCGCCAGCGTCGGTGGAGGTGACCCGCCCCGAAGTCCTGCGTCGCTCATGTGGGAGGCCTGGGAGAGGCGCAGGAGGGCCGCCGGCTGTGATGCCAGAGCTCGCGGCTCCTGCCCCATGGGTGAGGCAGCGCTCCGCCGAAGGCTCGCGCCGCACCCGCGGCGCGGCTTTCAGCGACGGCAGTGCGGGATCACCCCTGCACCACCAGGGGGGTGCGGGCAGAGCCTGGGATGGCGATGACGATGCATGATGACGATGGCGATGGCGATGACAGTGACGGTGACAGCGATGGTGATGGTGATGACGATGATGACGACGATGATGATGATGATGATGATAATGATGATGATGATGATGATGATGATGATGATGATGATGATGATGATGATGATGATGGTGGTGATAACGATGACGATGACGATGACGATGACGATGACGATGATGATGATGATGATGATGATGATGATGATGATGATGGTGATGATTATGGTAAGGACGATGATGATAATAATGCTGATGATACTGATGGTGATGGTGATGTGATGACGATGAAGATAAATATGATAATGCTGATGAGGATGATTATGATGAATATGGTATTGACGATGATGATGATGCTGGTGGTGACGATGCTGATGATGGTGATGATGCTGATTATGCTGATGATGATGACGATGACGATGCTAATGTTGATGATGTTGATTGTGATTATGGTGATGGTGATTGTGATGCTGACGACGATTATGATGAAGATGACGATGACGACGGTTGTGACTGTTATGACTATGACGATGGTGATGATGATGGTGATGATGATGGCGCTGCTGTTGATGATGATGACGACGAGCAGGATGCTGCTCATGGTGTTGAAGAAAACTATGATGATGATGCTGGTGATGATGATGATGATGATGATGATGATGATGATGATGATGATGATGGTGGTGGTGATGATGATGATGATGATGATGGTGATGGTGATGGTGATGGTGGCGGTGCGCGAAGAAGGGGGCGCGGGCACAGCCTGCGACCGACCTCGGGCGCCCCTACCAACCCCCACACAACGGGATGAGAAGCAGGGTGGCGACTAGGGAAGACAAAGGAGGGTGGTGGTCTTGAGTCCTGGAGGCAGGCGGGCCCTCGGGACCCCGGGGCCTTCGACAACACCAGCGTCTCATCCCGAGCCGTCCCCTGACGGCCCACAGACCGGCGGAGGGCCCCCCTGGTGCCCCGGGAGCGGCGGAGCTCCTCCAGGCGGGCCCGCTGTCCTCAGGACCCAGCGGCGGCGACGGCGAGGAGGACGAGGAGGATGACCCCCTGCCCCTCGTGAGGAGAGGAGCGGGGCGAACGCCCAACTACCTCGAACGATCGATGACGACGACGACGACGACGACAACGACGACGACGTCGACGACGGCGACGACGATGACGAGGAGGATGACCCCTGTCCCTCGTGGCGCGAGGAGCGGGGCGACGAGGAGCGCGAGGTCCTCGCCCGGCGGTGCGATGAAGCATGGCTCGGCGCCCACCGACTGCACCAGGAAGCTGACGGTGCCGCCCACCTTTCGGAGTCGTCGTCGTCGTCGCCGCCGCCGCCGTCGTCGTGGTCGCCGTAGCCGTCGTCGTCGTCGTCGTCGTCGTAGTCGAAGTCGATCGTTCGAGGTTATTGGCCGTGCTGGGTAAGTTTAGGGCCTCTGGGAAGATTCTCGTCGCCACGGCTGCAACCTACACCCTAGGAGAGGTCCCAAGCCAATTTGGGAGTTGTTTTTGTTTTGTTTCACGCTTGAGCGCTTGTGCGCTTGGATCGAAGAGGCCAAACCATGTTAATATCACGTTTAGCCGCGATCGGCGACGGCTCCTGGGGAGGAGGAAAGAGGAAGAGGAGGACGACACCAGAACACGAGGAGCAACGCTCAGGCTAACCTGCAATAGGCGAACCGTTGCGCGCCACTAAGGTTCGAAGAGACTGACGGGCGCCAGCCTAAAACCGAGGATCGGTCAGTACGTCCAAAATTGAAATTAAGATCCTGCCTGCCGCAGGCGCGAGCTGGAGCGGACAAATCGTGACCCCCCGTGCGCAGAGCAGCAGACAGCGGACACCACTGGGAGGGGGAGGAACCGGAGGAGGAGGGGGGGAGGGAGGGAGGAGGGCTGCTCAAACAGAGCTAGTAGGCAATGCCGAACCGCGGCGGCCGCTGTGGATTACCCTGCAGCAGATACGCAGGCCAGTCACGGATGGCGATCGATAAAACGCGCGTGTGGCGTGCGAAAGACAAGAAGAGCCATGAAAGTACTCGCGTGACAAGGAAGGTGGCAGCACCGAGTGTCGCCAAACACTACAGCGCCCAGATGGGAGGGAGGGGGGGAGGAGGAAAACTATTGACGAGCACGTTTGAAAGCAACGCGCAGCAGACCGCCTGATTCAGCGTGCTCACTGGTGGCCTCACGGACAAATCCCCGGAAAAGGTCAGGCGCACCGCCTGGGGGCGCCCCGTGGCGAATTGAGGCGTGCGTGCTGAAAGCCGCGTACACAGCGATGGCTGTCAAGGCGAGTCTTCCATCGAGGTCAGCAGCAGGAGGTCCGAGGACAGCATCAGGGTCAGCGATCCCCGCAGATGTAGATACCATCCATGTGGTCTCAGAGATGCCCGAGTTGAGGTAACGCTTCGACCATTCGTGGAAATTCTTGCAACAAGCATAATGCTGTATGAGTTTCCAAGCCAATTTTGGAGTGGGGCTCGTTGTCTTCGCCCTCGCCGTCGCCGCCGCTGCAGCCGTCGCCGCCGGCGCCGCCGTCGCAGCCGCCGCTGTCGACGTCGACGCCGCCGTTGCCGCCGCCGTCGCTGCCGCACTCGCCACCCCCGGACCTCCGGCGGCATACAGCGCAACCATCACAGCATGCGCTCGCGACCCACGATTTTGCAAGGGCCCGGGGGCCGCCCTCGGACCCCAGGGTCCAGGGCTGCTGGTGCACAAAGGGGGGGGTATGAGGGAGGGGGAACGCTTCTTAGAAGGAGGCCGCCTCTTAGAAGGCGCTGGCCCTTCCATCCACAGACAAGGTCCGCGCCTTCTAAGAAGCAGAAGTGGTTCTGAGAAGCCTTCCCCTCCCTCACCCCTCTCTGCGCGTGGCCTAGAAAAAAGGGCCTCCACCCGCGTTCCAGAGCAAGGCCACCCCGGACCTGACGTGATATACTATGTAGGCCTTACGGCTTGCGCCGCCGACCCTGACCCTGAAGGCGGGACCTCCCTGGGGAACCCCGCTGGCGCCCACCCCCCCCCCAGCCCCTGGGCCCCCGGGGGGTCGGCATTCTGACCCGGGACCACCCTCGATCCCCCCCCCTATCCTCCCTGTCCACACGGGGGACTGGCAGGGAAGGGAGGGGGCCGCCTGGACCCCGGGGGAGGGGGGGCGGTGATCTGACCCAGGACCCCCCCCGGACATGACGTGATACAGTTGTTTTGCCTCACGGCGGGCACGGGCAACGGAGCTTTCCTCTCGCATGCTCCCGCGGCTGGCTTCTCGCCACGGGTCGTTTTGCCAGGGCCGTGCTACCCAGAGCAGAGGAGGCTCCCCAGGCGCCGAAGTCGAACGAGCAGCGCAGGTCACGACGTTTTCCAGCGAGGCCGCAGGTAGGATTGGCGGCGCGCACAAGGGGGTGGGGGGAGGGGGAGGGCTTCTTAGAAGCAAGCTGCTTCTTAGAAGGCGCCGGCCTTACGTCTATAGAGAATGCCCGCGCCTTTTAAGAAGCAGGGGTGCTTCTAAGAAGCCTTCCCCCCTCCCCCTAACCCCCTTCTGCGCGTGGCCAGGGCTCGCCCTCTCCTGACACCTGGGAATAGGAAACCCTCCAAGCTTGGAAATGGACACCAACACCACAGCAGGGGGCCGCCTCCACTGGGGAAAGGTGATCCCAGATCCTGGTGTTGGAGGTCATGCTTCGGCCACCTTGGACGCCCGAGAATTGACACCGCCACCGAAATCGGGATCCTCTTCCCCTCGGGGGAAGCACATCGCCGACACTGGTGTTGGCGCTGACGACGCCAGCCCTGACCTTCCAGGAGGGCTAAAAAATGGCACCCGACTTAAAAACCTATCCCAGAGCTATTCTACGTCTTGGTTTTAGGCTGCTTCGCTCAGCTTTTTAGGTTTTTAGGCTTCCAATGCTAAAGAAAAAATCTCTCTGGAAGGTCAGGGAGGGGTTGAGCTGCCGGTGCGAGGCGGGCCCTGCTCCCGGCTGGCCGGCCGGCGCCGGCCTCCGCGGCCTTCTGCAGCGCTTCGCCGAGCCCGCTCCAGTCGTGCGCCTCTCCCAGCGGGCACGCGCGCGCGCGCCTCCGTCCGCTCGGGGGAGCTCGGGGAGGACGGGCCAGGCCACGGCGGCGCGAGGGGCTCAGACAGGGCCCCCTGAGATCTGACGCGTCGAACACAATTGCGACATCGTAGAAAATCGCGGCTGGAGCCCTGGACCCGCGTCATTTTTCGAGCCGGATCGATCTGTGAGGGTCCCGGGGCGCGAAAAAAGCCCAAAACGCCCGGCTCGAAAATATGGAGTCTCACGCAGTGGCGAAGCGTCCTGGCTCGCCTATAGTCCTGCCTAAGAATGTTCTGAGAACCTTTCGTGGTCTGTACGAAATGTTCTTAGAACATTTCGGGCTGAGACTGTCTTGTGTGAGCGCATCGGGCTTATGTTCTAATCACGATGTTCTTGTTATTAAGACATTTTTAGGTTCTGAGAACTTTTCGTGGTAGGCCTATATAAAAGCCTCCTAGATAGGGTTGGAGTAGTTGGGGTCGGAGGATTGCACCGCAACGCCGATACATCGGCGATGCATCGGCGATGTATCAGTGATGCATCGCCGACGTCTGCGACGCATCGGCGACGCCGGCGCAGAATAAATCGGGCTCCACATCGAGCCCCATCGCCGATGCATCAGCGATGCGGCGCGATCCTCCGACCCCATCTACTCCGACCCCATCTAGGAGGCCTAGACTTTAGGAAAGCCGGGACGGTCGGCCCCTGCTCAAGGGTCGCCAGGATCTCGGGATCTCGGGGATCGCAGCGGGAGGCCGTGGGCCGCTCTTTCGGGCTCTGGCGGGCCTCGCTGGGCCTCAGGACCGGCAACAAAACGAATGCGGACGAGGAGCCGGCCCTGCCGAGAGGCTCTGGCCTTCGGGGGGCCGCGCATTTTGAGCAGGGGCCGACCAGAAGGGCTCCCGCAAGAGACTTCCCCGCAATTCGCTCAACGACCAAGCTCCCGCTCGGAACTGGCGAGGCCCAGATCTCGGGAGCCCGAGAACGAAGACGGCTACAGGACCTGGATGACCCCCTCGGACTAGAAGCATAAATCGGTAACCCCGTAGGAAGGTGCTCTTAGTGGGCCCTGGAAACGACAGGGCCGTTTTTTTATCGGTTCCGTTTTGCCGTTTTGTTGCCGGTTCCGACGCCGTTTCTTTACAAGTTCCGTCGCCTTTTTTTAACGGTTCCAGCTCTGGCTCCAATCCTGGATACGTTTTTTTGTCGTTTCTGGTCGCCGCTTTCTTGCCGCCTCCATTTTCAAGAGACGCTTTTTTGTTCGGAAGCGGTGAAAAAATGCCCTGCCGTTTCTGGAGCCCACGAAGGAAGTGCTCCAACTTCAGGCTTCCTCGCAACTCATTCACGGACAAGTCTCCCGCTCGTAGGAGGAGGAGGAGGAGGAGGAGGAGGAGGAGGAGGAGAAGGAGAAGGAGGAGGAGGGGGAGGAGGAGGGGGACGAGGAGGAGGAGGAGGAGGAGGAGGAGTTCCACAATATTCAGGGCTCAGGCGCCCAATACTGACGACAGTTACAAGATCTGGATGCCCCCTCGGAGTGAAGAGGGCCCCCCAGGGAAGGGCTTTCGATTGAGACGTCTGAACACTTCACTTACGGACCAGGCTCCCGCTCGAAACGTCCTCCACATACAGGCCCTTGGAGCCCCAAATTGATAACAGTTACAACATCTGGATAAGTTCCACTCGCGGACTAGGCTCCAGCTCAGGACTACTAGACACATTACGTAAACACCCCATCTCGTTGGGCTCCCGCTCGAAACTTCCTCGTAGCTCACTCACTGACAAGGCTGCCGCGAGTGTGCACGTTCTTGATGTTGATGTTGATGTTGTTGTTGATGATGATGCTACTGATGATGACCGTGACAATGGCAATGATGATAATGATTATGGTGATGGTGAACAGGTTGATAATGAATGTCGTGCTCGCGATGATGGTGATGCTGGAGATATGATGACGAGGATGATGATGATGATGATGATGATAAAGATGATGAAGATGATGAGGATGATGAGGATGAGGATGAGGATGAGGATGAGGATGAGGATGAGGATGATGATGATGATGATGCTGATGCTGATGCTGATGATGATGATGATGATGATGATGAAGATGATGATGATGATGATGATGATGATGATGAGCGTACTGTAGCAGGGAAGAGAAGAGCAGAGGGGGCGAGGAGGTTCCTGCGCGGAGGGGGCCCAGAGAAAACGAGATCCCCACATTGGGCGTGGGGTAAGAGCCGCCCGAGAAGGAGGCGGCATCGAGGTGTTCTCGAGTTCTCCGAGTGGCGCGTGCCCCTGTGACGGTGGCGCAGAACTTAGAAGGACAGTGGACCCACTTGCCCGGCCAGCCGCCGTAGCCCTGGATGCCTCCTACTGCTCTTTCGACGCCTCCTGCTCCCCGTCCGTACCTCCCCCGTCCAGTGGTCTGGCGCAGACAGCTGCTGTAAACCTTGATGGCGCTTTCTGCGATCCTTCTTCGTTCGCTCGATCTGATGAAACACCTGAAAGCTAGAGCCCGAAGCCTGAACTATGGACGCGGACAGAACATTCAAGCCGTTCCTTGCTCCATGTGGCGGCTGGACCCGACGTTGGCACCCAGAGCTGAGGACCCCCTTCCCTAGTCTATGGCGCCGGTTTCTCGTCAAGAGGTCGTGTTCTTGAGGCTCCCAGTCCCAGGCCACAAAGTCGGCTCACGGAAGCAGAGACAAGACACCAAACCATACATGTTTACAATGTGTATACATATACATATGCATATGTATAGACATACATGCATACATTTACATATATATATATATATATATATATATATATATATGTGTGTGTACACATATACACATATGTGTATACATATAACGACAATCGTTCAAATCTGCCGCGAAGCCTGGAGGCCTTGGCCCTCCAGACCCCTGCCATCCCGAAACAAGCAACGGACCATACACCTCTGGAGGTCTGCGCGGATGTCTTGTGCTGGCGCTGGAACACCGCGACGAGCGGAGACGGATGCGAGGCGGGGATTTATCCGTATCCCCCGCCTGGGAACCGACGTCCTGGGGACCCAGCGGGCGGTGGACATGGATATATATATATATATATATATTTATATATATATATATATATATATATATAATATATATATATATAGCCACCCAGGGGCCATATATCCGCCGGCCCCCTTGTGGGGCCACCAGGCTGTAGGCGCGGGTTCGCAGTTTCCTGTACCAGTTGTAGCTTGTAGTTTCCAGTGTTACAGTTCTGCTTCTTGCTGGTTACTGTAACTAGTTGATTGACCGCGCGAGGGGGGGGGAGGCCCAAACCAGATATTTAGCACCTCCTGGGCGCGTTGTCTGAATTGCTGGGGGGGCTCGAAATCCACACCCCTCACACAGATCGGCGGGGTCAGGGTCCAAAAACACATGGGATTTGCCACATTTCTGAAATTCGGTGCCACCCCTCACGCAGATCCGCGGGGTCAGGGTCCAAAAACACATGGGATTTGCCACATTTCTGAAATTCGGTGCCACCCCTCACGCAGATCCGCGGGGTCAGGGTCCAAAAACACAGGGATTTGCCACATTTCTGAAATTCGGTGCCACCCCTCACGCAGATCCGCGGGGTCAGGGTCCAAAAACACATGGGATTTGCCACATTTCTGAAATTCGGTGCCACCCCTCACGCAGATCCGCGGGGTCAGGGTCCAAAAACATGGGATTTGCCACATTTCTGAAATTCGGTGCCACCCCTCACGCAGATCCGCGGGGTCAGGGTCCAAAAACACATGGGATTTGCCACATTTCTGAAATTCGGTGCCACCCCTCACGCAGATCCGCGGGGTCAGGGTCCAAAAACACAAGGGATTTGCCACATTTCTGAAATTCGGTGCCACCCCTCACGCAGATCCGCGGGGTCAGGGTCCAAAAACACAGGGGATTTGCCACATTTCTGAAATTCGGTGCCACCCCTCACGCAGATCCGCGGGGTCAGGGTCCAAAAACACATGGGATTTGCCACATTTCTGAAATTCGGTGCCACCCCTCACGCAGATCCGCGGGGTCAGGGTCCAAAAACACAGGGGATTTGCCACATTTCTGAAATTCGGTGCCACCCTTCACGCACATCCATCGCAAGGCGTGGTAACCCAAACTGCGAGAACTCCCTCGGCCCTTTAATCGCAAGGTGTGGTAACCAAGCCCGTAAACCATACACGTCTTACCAATCGCCAGGTGTGGTAACCCCTCTTGTGATCAGTTGGTTTTGCTGATTGCGAATCGGCTTCGCATGAAGTTTCGATACTGCTTCACGACAGCGCCAAGGCCTCATGACTTAGCTCTTCCATGGCCCATTCTCCGAGAGAGGGGGCCGGCGGCAGGGGGCGAAGCCCTTACGGATATATATATATATATATATATATATATATATGTATATATATCCACACACACACACACTGCCCGCCGAGGCCTTCAAACATCGATCCTCCAGGCGGTGGTTAGGAGTGAATCCCTGCCTCGGACCGGAAGCGCCGCCAGGGGAGGGACCCGCGCGGCGCGAGGAGGAGGGTGAGGAGGAGGAGGAGGAGGAGGAGAAGGAGAAGGAGGAGGAGGAGGAGGAAGAGGAGGAGGAGGAGGAGGAGGAGGAGGAGGAGGAGGAGGAGGAGGAGTGGGAGGAGGAGGAGGAGGAGGAGGAGGAGGCGGAGGAGGAGGAGGAGGCGGAGGAGGAGGAGGAGGAGGCGGAGGAGGAGGACATGTGCGACGGGTGCGGCGCCGAGCGGCCTTAGGGGGGGACCGGCACCGGCCCGAGAAGTCCGCGCGGAGCTCCGAGCGCTGACGCTTACCGTGCTGGTCGGAAGAAGCACGAGGAGGGCACTGAATACGGGACCATTGGAGAAGGAATCATACAGTCGGGACGTTGACCTAAGGAACCCTAAATAAGGAACGAGGCCCCTTTTTCCCATCAGTTAAAGTCCGATTTCCCGTCGAAGCCCTAAGGGAA